TCTTTATATAACCAATAACTACATCAGATAATGATTGATTTGTTTGACTATTTGTTTGATCCATTGCTAATGAAAATTTTTTTGCTTGAATTCTATCAAGTTGTAAATTAATTGGTGAACCAATAATATTTGTTGATAAACGATTTGCTTCTATATTTGTAATTGTTAAATTTGTTGTTGTTGTTGGATGAAGATTTGATGAATAAGACGACGATGGTAATGCTATATCAAGAACAATACTTTCGTTTGTTTTCAATGAAAGATTCCATGATGATGGTGGATGATCAAGTAAATCAAAATAAATAAATTTTTCGGTGGAAGAATTAGTTGTACTGTTGAATAATGTATTGAATAATTCATTGGATAAAAGTGTATTTGATAAATTTGTGGTTTTTGATGGTTTGATTATAATCATTTGTTGTTGTTGAAGAGATGTCAAATTTGAATGATCGAGAGAGAATGAAGAAGAAGTTAAAAATTTATAGTTTATGGTGGATATTCGATCTGAAGTGGTATCTGTAGTAACAGTTGATGTTTGTGATTTCCAACGAGTTATTTTTCGTCTACGAGTTCGATGCTTATGTATTGATTTTGTAGAAGTAGTGGTTGATGTTGTTGTTGTTGTTGTTGTTGTTGATAATTTACTAGTCCTTCTTCTAGTCGGTCGAGTAGGTCGTGTCGATGGATAAGTTACAACGAGAGTAGAATATTCAGTTTCAAAATTATATACATCAAGAAAAATAGTTGATGCTATTTCTGGTGAAGATTGAATCGAAGTGTATTTTTCGACATGTTCATTATTCGTAGTTTCTAATAGAAGAGTTGAATATTCATTTGTTTGGACTATCGTAGTGGAATCCAGATTGGTACCGGTAATGAGAGTTGTTAAAAGCGCTGTATAATCGATCGTACTTGATTCTAAAGATATTGTAGACGTAAGTGATTCGTCGTAGAATATACTTGAAGATCTAGATGTGAATTGATCATCTGTTGTTGTAGATAATAGAGATGAAACGGTTGATGTATAACTTGGGGAAGACGATTCATCAGAGAAAATATTAATGGAACTTTTCTCAGTGATATCTGACGTTATGGTTGGATCAGTTGTTTGTAATGTACTAAGAGATGATAATGGCAGAATAGTAGGAGGCGCATATATTGTTGTAGTTGTTTCTAAATAGGTTTTTGGCGATAATAATCGATTGAATTTTGTTGATATTGTGCTCGAATGTGACAGTGAAGGATGAAGTGATGATGATGATGAT